CTTTGACACCTTTGCCCAAGGGCTCAATTTGGTGGCGACACTTTGTGCGACTGTTGAAAACTTGTCTTGACGTGGTGTTTACTCATTCATTGAATTCAGCAGATTGTAAAACACGTTACAGCTTTAGTTTGAACAGTTGAATGCGCAATGTGAATTTCTGTATATTGTACGCTGCTTGATTAATATTCAGCACTGTTTTGTGCACTTTGTTTGTAATTCAGGTCAAAGCCAAACACTGCGTGGTGGTGGTCAGTGGGCACGTGGTGACTGAAGGAGCGCTGCTGTTTGGTAAAGCTGACCTCTACATATGTGAAGGCTTCACGTTGACCTCTACAGGAGATGTGTGCTGCAGAATCCATCATCAGACCAAGTAAAGACCAAAACAATTTTCATATGCTCAACAAGGCTGTATTTTCTTGATCAAAAATGCAGTAAACTAGTAATGATGAGATGTTAGTGTAATTTAATATTTGCTCAATTACGACATACTAATTGTTTATTATTTTTTATAATAATTTCAATATTGAGTGTTCAAAAGTACAGTTACATTTGGAATAGAATAATTTTGTTACAATATTAATGTCTTTGTTTTTAATTTAACGCAGCACTGCTGGATAAAACTAAAACTGCCTTATTCACCAAAAACTTACAAAAAATGTTAGTACTGCATATATTCATATTGGTATACATCTAAATATACTGTCGCCTTGGAATTAAAAGGTTCTATCTGCGTTCTAAATGAATTTGAGATATTGAGCTTCAAAGTTTTTGCATTCCATATAGAAAACAATATGTGTAACAGTCTATTAACATTCACACATTAACATTTAGGAGAGCCTAAATGTACTGTAAATGTAAATTATCAAAATTCTCTTATATTTGCAAATTGGGGTAAAAAAAACTGGGCGAATGCAGATAGAACCTTCTGATTCATTTTTCTGCCCAGTTTTATTTATATGTTGATGTTTGAGAAAGTTAAAATTTTGCTTTTATTTCAAACATTTATTTATTGTTTTAGTATAAATACTTTTTCTTATTCAAATTAAGCATACAAGGCTGTGCTAAATATTTTGTCCAGTGCAGATATTGATTTTATGTAATTATTATGGTAAGATTTATTGAATCAAATTCTTTATATGAATGATTGAATTATATTTAATGAATTATATGCCCCATAAATTAAGTTAGGCATTTGCCCTTCAAGGATTAATATCAAATTTAAAGGCTTTAAAAGAATAAAGACAATGAGCAAATGAGTTTGATAAACACAGAAAAATGTTTCACTGACTATATATACACAAATAAAAATATTTCATTTAATACAGTTGAGGTCAGAATTATTAGCCCCTCGTGTTTATTTTTCCCCATTTACTGTGTATCGGAGAGCAGATTTCTTCAACACATTTCTAAGCATAATAGTTTTAATAACTATTCTCTAATAACTGATTTATTTCATCTTTGCCATGATGACAGTAAATAATATTTTATTAGATATTTTTCAAGACACTTCTATACAGCTTAAAGTGACATTTAAAGGCTTAACTAGGTTAATTAGGTTAACTAGGCAGATTAGGGTTATTAGGCAAGTTATTGTGTAACAATGGTTTGTTCTGTAGACTATCGAAAAAATAATTTTGACCTTAAAATGTTTTTTTTTTTAATTAAAAACTGCTTTTATCTAGCCAAAATAAAACAAATAAGACTTTCTCTAGAAGAAAAAATATTATCAGACATACTTGCTCTGTTAAACATCATTTAGGAAATATTTTAAAAAGAAAAAATCAAAGGGGGACTAATAATTCTGACTTCAACTGTATATTACATTTTTTTTTAACAATGTAAAATGTAACAATTCATCTCAATGACAAAAAAATGCTTCTAAATCTTAACATTTACACAAACCTTCAGTTTCAGTTTCTTTCTGGTCTTTCCTGCTGTCAAGGGAGCAGTTCGGCAAAAGTCTCAAAATGTAAACAACTTAAACAAAAAACATCACATAATGTAAATGAGTTGTCATTTATTAAGAATATGTGAATAACTCAATGTCAGATAGAACCTCATAATTCTAAGGTGACAATACATGTACGGTACATATACACATACTGTACATATACGTATATACATGCGCGCAAGAGATATATAGACACTTAAAGTTATTAGACAATGTTTTTTGATAGTATTTATTATTTTATTATTATATATTTGAATTTTTAAATACACCACTATATAATTATGTAATTAGAAAAAATTGCAAATCATATATAACAGTAGTAGGTCTTTGTATCTATAATTATGTATTAATTGGTTATTTTCTAATTAAAACGTTGTAAAAGAGAAGGTAACATTAGTGTTTTACTGTGATCAAACAGCTTTATTTGTCCATCTTTAAATAAAGTGTATTATTACTATAGTGTTACATGAAGTTTTAAGTACAGTGTGGTTATTGTTTTCTTTTGCTATTGCAAAAGCCCCTTAATTTGGTGTATTTATATCTCTAATGCAAAAATGAACTACAAGTGTAACTAAATATGTAAGTGCATTTATATAAGTTTTAACCAAAAGATGAATTACTCTTTTACTGCATAGTGGTTACATCAATTAAGATGAATTTATTTCTGTGCATACAGTAGGTACAACAACAGATAACATCTTAAATGTTCTATCTTTATCATAGTGTGAGGGACTCGTATATTTGCAGCATGATGAATAAAGAGAAAAACTCAGTGACCCCGAGCTGCAAGCGCTGGTCATATGATGACATCAAAGAGGCCAATTTCATGCGCTTTCTGCTTGAGGTGAGATTCACAGAGCACATATTCATTTCATCAGTTCAAATAATTATTACGCAATGCAAATCGTGATTTTCCTTTTGATGCTTGACAAACACGCATGTCTACATTAATATATCTGCTTAACTAATTAATTTCTTAAATCTTTAGGACAATGCTCTGGAAATATTCTTAAAGAACGGAACTTCAGTGTTCCTAGTTTTCTTCAACAATGACCACGTCAATGCATATAAAAGGTGAAATGAGAGTCCTTGTGATTTAAGTGGGTAAAGAACTGTTTGTAAGGTAGCACAGGCTAAATTGATTTATCTTTCTCTCTCTCTTTCTCTCTCTCTCTCTTTCTTTGTCCTGTTTCCAGGTTGTGCTCTGTGGTCTCCTCATTAAAGGGAAGGGGAGAGACTGTGCTTAATGTGAGGTGAGTGTCAAAAGCATTTCGCAGACAGCTGCCACTTCAGTCAGAGAGTCTGTGATGCTTTTCTTTTGAAACAGACCAGAGTTTTGTGGTTTCAAAGTTTCTAGAAAACACATTCTCGTACGTGTGCGGTTAAATATTGACAGTAAGACTCTCAATCCCCTAAACAATATCCCGGCATTACAGTGAAACTACAATTACTGCATCTTCAGCATTTCCCACCAATTAAAACAGCTTCAGTAACTTTTCAAAGTCATGAACAGCCGATACAACCCTGAATGTTATAGTTGCTAATTATCTGCGAGGGTGCAATAAGCTTTTTACCTATATGTTATTTCAGATGTTGCTTTGGTCAAATTATCGTTCCTTCATTCAGGGTTTTAATTTCTACTTATGTAAGATGTATCACACTTAGTTCATCTCAGTTTTTGACATGATGAAGAGGAAATGGAATTAATATTAACAGTGTTTTCCAGTGGCTTCAAAGTTGAAGAGTTGTACAGTTATATAATGCATGTTTTTTAATGATGCTGTACAGGTTACAGATCCGAGGACCCCTTGGTGGATAGAAACATACTTTGAAAAATTGTTGTCATTTAAAGTCCCGTTCACATTAAGAATGAAAACTTTGAAAATATTAGTGTCCACGTCAGCTGATGATTTAGTGGTGTTGCCATTCATTAAATCAAATTCCTGTTTTTTTTAATATATTAGGCACAGTTTATTTTTAATTTTACAATTATCATTACAGTTATTGTATGACGTTGACTTTACATCTTTAAATATACAGTGGGGAAAATAAGTATTGAACACGTTAGTTTTTTTTCCTGTGAACTATATTTCTAAAGGAGCTTATTACATAGAATTGAACCATATTTTTGTAAAAACCCAAACAATACAAACATAAAAATAAAACAAAACAAAAAAAATTGAAAAATGAGTAATAACATTTGTAATAACAATGGAATGACACAAGGAGAAAGTACTGAACTACCAAAATGTATTTAATTCTTTATATGAAATTATTTTTTAATTATGGCAGCTTAAAGACGCCTCTCATATGGACAATGAAGTCATATTAATTGCTTAGGTGTGACTTTTTTCCACAGACTTCAACAGTGTAAAACTCTTTGATAGTTCTGTGGGTCTCGTCTATCAAATCTGATCTTTAATTTGTATTATATATTAGATTGAAGTCTGGTGATTGGTTGGGCTATTGTACAGCTTGATTTTTCTTTCTCTGAAAGCATTTAAGAGTTTCCTTGGCTGTATTTTGGATCATTGTCTTGCTGAAATGTAGACCCTGGTTTCATGTTCATTGTCCTGATAATGTAGATGTTGGATTGAAGCAACTAATATTCATTTACAGTGATGAAGAGCAGAGGGTTGCTGAAGAACTACACCTCCCTTTCATCATGTGTTCAATAGTTCACTTTTTCCCTGTGTCATTTTGTTTTATTATGCATAACATAATTTGTAAACTAATTAGATTTGCTTTCTTTGCATATATATATATTTCTTTGGTTGCTATCAACATCTGGTGAAAATTTCAAGTCAACAGCTTCTTTAGAAATATGTTTTCTAAGAAAAACTATGACATGTTAAATACTTATTTTCCCTGCTGTATATTTTACAATTTTATTCTATTTAAACCATTCACTCTATCTTTAGAGGCACGATAAAGCTTAGTTTGACACATATTTTTTTTCCTTTCATTAAAGATAGATTGAAATCAATCAATGACTGATGGAACCCTGCAAAACCTTTAGTTAATTCCATAAAATTTACAGGAGGAGACATTTTTAAAGAGTGTTGTCATTATGTGTAAAGGTTGTTTTATTGGTATCTCCAGCAGGTCTGGCCTGCTCTTTGTGAAAACCAGGAGGTGAGGTAGTAATCCACTGCCGCCAGATTTCTTGACTGCCTCGTGCTACAGAGTTTGGCGAGATCAGCCCTGAAAAATTACTCTTCTTTTGCAAGCTATCTAGCTTTTTCTTTCTGCACCTTTCTAGACAAGGGTGGCACAAATCTCCCTCTCTCGCCAAATACAGATTTCCAGTCGTCTTCATAGAATCTGAATCTTGTCCGTCCCGCTGCCTGTAGACCACAGGGTTGCGTTTGGTGTTTAGCTTTGTCAGGTTGGGCAGCACGCGGGTGCATTCAGGCACCTGTGTGAACAAATTATCAAAAAGTCCGAGTTCTGTCAGGTTTGTCAACCCAGCCAAAGTGGGAGGAAGAGCGTTTAGACGATTCATACCCAAGTTCAGAACTTGCAGGTTTCTTAAACTTCCTATTTCGGGCGATAAACCAGCAGAATCCAGATTGTTGTTGCAGAGGTTGAGGTGAACCAATGATCTCAAAAGTCCGATATTTTCAGGAAGCCGCTCGATTTGGTTGCTGTGAAGATCTAACCAACGCAAGCCAGTGAACTGGCCAATGAATTCTGGGATTGTTTTCAGTTTATTGCGGCTTAGGTCAAGTTCTTCAACATTTCGTAACTTTAGGAGGCATTTGGGAAATGTGGCGATGCCTACATTGCTCAGATCAAGTCGTAGTTTTCCTTCTGGTGTTGCTCTGAGGGCATTTTTAGCCATTTTCAATGTGATCTTTGTACCTTTGGCTCCTGCCGCTCTCTTCCCTTTAGCCATGGAGCTGCACAGACACAGATTAATGGTTAAACGCTTCTGAAGCATCTATTTGATTAAGTCTTAACTGGAGTCATGTAATTATTATCTCAGGACCTTGTAGCTTTAAACATGTACGACTTAATGATGGGACAGTTTAGCTGTTTGCACTGGGAAAGAGGAAATCATGTATGCCCACAGGCGAGATTAGGGGCCGCGGAGGTGTTGGCCATTAATATTTACACCCAACTCACTCACTCACTCACCCAGCTCACCCTAAAGGTATATTTTAGGATAATTTCGTTCTCTAATTAAGGCTAAGCCAGATAACAGCGGCCAACACATATCTAGGGAAAAGCTGTTTGTGTTTTCTGTCTGATTGATCCAGGGCGGCGCTAGCTATCCGTGTGACTGCGTGGAGAGAGTCAAATCAGTGCTTTGATAAATGACACTAGAAAGAGATTTAAACTTGCTCCCTTCATATCTTCCCATTAAAAAGGAGGAGTGGCTGCATTGTAAGCCCTTTGGCGACTCATTAATCACATTGGTAGATGGGCTAATACGGTTCGTACTGTTTCTATTAGACCTTTTGTTTTTGAATCCGTTGCATCCGAGAAGTGCAATTACAGAGAGCTGACCATCGGCGCGATCCATTTTCATGTTGTTTGTGATTCGCTGATTCTGAACCCCTCCAAACGCAGAGAAAATTGAACGGTGTTTGCTATTTTTCGTGACATATGGAATATAATAGATGTCACAACTACATGATTTCGAAGCAGGAGTCGTTTGTAAATGGAATTTACTTTCTAACTGAGGAATATGGATTTTTTTGGAGGAATTGTTTAGTCAGGCTAGTGTAAACCAGAATATAATTTAGTAAAAGTGATTTTAAAAATGTTATATGTGATATGTAAACATAATATTGAATACAATCAAACTTTTTTGTTGCTTTTAAAATGCGAATAACTAGTTAGATGCCTTTTTTGTATGTGTGTGTAACAATATGATGGATTAACATTTATTGTCTTTGATAGTTGTGCCACTACTTGTACCTTTAGTCACTTTACTATTATTTCGTAGATGTAAGGAGTCAATCAAGGGTCATATATATATATATATATATATATATATATATATATATATATATATATATATATATATATATATATATATATATACTTGCAAAATAAAAGAAAGATTTGCAAACAAAAAATAAAGTATTGAGCAAAAATAAATAAACAAATAAATGCAAATCTTCAAAAATCGCAAAGCAAAAATTTATTTTTGAGAAATAAAAAATTATTTTGCTAATAAAAATAAAGAACTGCAAAGGGAAAATTAAGTTTTGAGAAATAATAATGAAATTATATATATATATATATATATATATATATATATATATATATATATATATATATATATATATATATATATATATATATAATTAAATAAATAAATAAAAAAATAAAATATATTCAACTGTGAGTTCGCGATGCTGTTTGTCGTAAACGTCCAAGTTCCCTTGACTCCGCCCCCTCGTCGAAAAAAGAAACGCACAGACATGGGAAGTGCAAAGTGTGAATAGCATTGCCAAATCATGGATGACAGCAAAGCAAATCAAAATGAGCATTGCAATTGACTGGATGGTTTTTTTTTAAAGGCAATGCTACAAATACGTTTTGTGAATATTTGTATATGTATATTATCTATTATATATATATATATATATATTTTTTTTTTTTTGCAAATATTTTAGTTTTTTTTTTAATTTCCTAAAACTTAATTTTCCCTTTGCAGTTGTTTATTTTGTTATCAAAATTAATTTTTATTTTTCAAAAAATAAGTTTTTTTTTGCTTTGCGATTAGTATAGTATACAGTATACAGAAGTATACATATGACCTTACACTATCAGAAATAAAGGTACGCGATCATGCACCCCAGTGACAGATTACGTACCTTTATTTCTTTTCAAAAGGTACACATTTGTACTAAAAGAGTCCATATTTGTACCTCAAACTTATATATTAGTACCTACACATTTTAAGACAAACACTTTTGTACTTTTTTGGTACTAATATGTACCCTTGAGATAATAATATAGACCTTTAGGGTACAAATTTAATCTTTTTGAAAAGGTACCACCCCAGTGACAGCTCGCTTACCTTTATTTCTGAGTGTGTAGATTGACTCCATATAGATGCAATGAAACACTTTTATTATCTTTTAACATTTGTGTGACCTTTGATATTTTTTCTGTGGTTTAACACTTTATGGCAGTCTCAGAAAAGCTAAAACGATTAACGTTAATAGGATTACACAAAAAAGTGTGTGGAAAAAAACATAATTTTGCCCCAACCCACTATTGTTACTCAGGATTAATTTCATGCTCTCTCCGCTGTAAAGGAAGACTTAAATACGTTTATTTTACTCACGGTTTTTATATACGGTCCACAACAGAATTGCTTGAGAGTCAGGGGAGGATCTTCAAACTGTAGACCAAAAAGAAGCTTTGTCCTGTTTAACTTTAGTTACCAAGCAACGCTAGCACAGGGCTCCAGGAGTTTTATTGTCCTGTGACCAGAGCTGCACAAAAGAAAGGGGAGTAAGAAGTGTTGCAGCATTTGTGTTTTCACACTCACTCAGATTACATTTCCAGAATGTTATTTGAGGCCCAGGACATTAATAGTTTCACCTATTAGCCACGAGCAAACTTCATATTTTCTTTTCTGTCTTTCTTTCTTTACATGTGGGAGTAGTGAGAAATGCATGATCAACTTGCATGCATGTCAAATCACTTGTGATTTTGCATGTTTGGGGTCTCTTTTTGTGATCTGCTTATGTGTGTGAAGGACAAAACAATCTTCTATGGTAGTACTTTGTGCTAATAGTTATTTTCAAAAACCTATAGATGGCAGTATTTACTCCTTTAAGGGCTTGGGTTGGACGATGGAAGAAAATTTTACCCTTGTTTCCACAAGAATGTGTATGTTTCTATTTGGCTCTTCTGTCTGCTGAAAGACCATGAGCTTTCTCTGTTCCCCAACCTGTTGCTATGCAACTATAGCAGACTTGGGTTGGATGACTAGTAAATTTAGGATCTTTAAAGAAGTAAACAACCAAATGTGCAGTAGGCCTAACAGCACATTTGTTATTGATTAAAATTTATTTAGAGACAGTAGCACATTTCTTTGCTTAACAATAAAAAAAATCCATAAAATTTGTCTTGCTCTGTTTTTACAGAAAAACATCAGCAGTTGAGAAGACCGTCTTAATTAAATGGCAGGTAATGTGAACCGTCAGTTACTTTGATCATTCATTCATTAATTTATTTACTTTTCGGCTTAGTCTCTTTATTAATCTGCGGTCGCCACAGCGGAATGTACCGCCAACTTATGCAGCATATGTCCTCGCAGCGGATGCCCTTCCAGCTGCAGCCCATCGCTGGGAAACACCCACACACTCCTATTCACACACATACTGTACACTACAGACAATGTAGCCTACCCAATTCACCTCTACCGCATGTCTTTGGACTTGTGGGGGAAACCGGAGCACCCGGAGGAAACCAACATGAACACGGGCAGAACATGCAAACTCCACACAGAAATGCCAACTGACCCAGCCGTGGCTTGAACAAGCGACCTTCTTGCTGTGAGGCGATCGTGCTACCCACTGTTAACTGTTATTTGTTACAGTATATAAATGCTGCTTTTACAGTAAAAATGAATCCTATATTTTTTTTCCTCTGTGATTTACATTAACCTGAACATATCTTGTTTTAATTTCTACTGTTTTTGACCGTGTTCATTTATTTATTTTCCTTAGAGGGGTGAAATCAGCAACTTTGAATACCTCATGCATCTAAACACACTTGCTGGACGGACCTACAATGACTTGATGCAGTATCCTATCTTTCCCTGGGTCATCGCTGATTATGAATCAGAGGTAAAATGAACATGCATGCAAACTTGAGATGCTTGAATTTTTTTTTTTTTTGTGATGCTGGAAATTGTTTTGTTTGTTGATCTTGTTAGACTCTGGATCTGTCCAGTCCTGCTACATTCAGAGATTTGTCTAAACCAATGGGAGCTCAAACTGAGAAGAGAAAAGAGAAGTTTATTCAGAGATACCTTGAAGTGGAAAATAATGATGGTAAACCATAACTATTTATGTACTTTTCTGTTCTCACTCACTTTCCTGGCTTAGTCCCTGAATAATCAGGGGTCGTAGAATGAACCGCCCTACTTTTCTGTTTTTATATACAATTATTGTGTGTTTTGTGTGTTTTTTTATGTTTTCTTTTCTTTTCTTTCTAAACTCTGAAGGAACCATTCTGATTTAGTTAACCAGTCTGAAATTAAAAGTTTTGTTGTGGTTTCTAACCTTCATTTCACCCTCATCTCAACCAACATCTCACCAACATTTCAAAGCAAACTTTGTAAAAAAATAAAAAATAAAATAAATAATAATAATAATAATAATAATATTAAGACTTTGCAGTTTAGAAGTATTATGGGGAAATTTCTTTATTGATTTGTTTAATTTCATCCTATGATATTACTATTTCAGCTACCTCCACCACTACTACTACTACTACTACTACTACTACTACTACTACTGTACTACTACTACTACTTCTACTACTACTACTACTACTACTACTACTACTACTAGTAATAATAATAATAATAATAAAAATAATAATAATAACAACTATAATAAAAATAATAATAATGATAATTACAATTAGTAAATTGCATTAATGAAACGATTAATAAACAGCCATTATCGTGTGCCTAAATATTACTTTTAGGGCTTGCAACAGCAGCTTTTAAAAAAACAAAAGCTGAATCAGACAAATTATATGGATTAAAGCATTTAGGGAACTGCACTAAGTTATAAAAAAAATTATAAAAATGATATATTAATAATATATTTTATTTAGTGAAAGTTTTATGAGTTTTTCTATGTGCACTGCGTGATTTAATAACACTTTCATATTCTATTCAATTCAATTCAGCTTTATTTGTATAGCGCTTTTACAATGTAGATTGTGTCAAAGCAGCTTCACATAAATGGTCATAGTAGCTGGATCAGGGTAGTTCAGTTTTTAGTGTTTAAGTTCAGTTCAGTTTAGCTCAGTTCAGTGTGGTTTGAAATCATTACTGAGAGTCCAAACACTGAGGAGCAAATTCATTGATGTGTAGCTCTACCGATCCTGAACCATGCAAGCCAGTGGCGACAGCGGAGAGGGCAAAAAAACTTCACCGATAGGAGAGTGAAGAAAAAAACCTTGCGAGAAACCAGACTCAGTTCGGCATGACCATTTTAATTTCTCCGCTGGCCAAAAGTCTTGTGCAGAGGTGCAGTCTCAGCGGTGGAGGCTGGAAGCTGGCCTCAGCGAAGATTCGTCTGTCCCTGGAGCGTCACTGAAATCAGACTCATGCTCTCCACTCCCCCATGACCACCAGTGCAGCAGCAGCTCAAGATATGGCCTGGTCTCGGATATGGAGACCTGGGATCATCTAGTCGCTGGTCTTGGATCCAATCAGTGACTCCGCATAATCTGAGGGCCTCGGGATGAGTATCCCCAGGTGGAAATGGAGAAAAAAAGAGAATAATTAGCGTAGCTGCTGTTCATAGTGTATATAAACAAGATGCAGAAACTTGTGTGGAAACCTGCTAAGTGTATGCTTTACTAAACAGATAGGTCTTTAATCTAGTTTTAAACTGAGAGAGTGTGTCTGAGCCTCGGATGTTATCAGGAAGGCTATTCCAGAGTGTAGGAGCCATAAAGAAGAAGGCTCGACCTCCTTTACTCGACTTTGCTATTCTAGGTACTACTAGAAGCCCTGAGTTTTGAGATCTTAAAGAGCGAGTTGGATTGTAGCGAGACAGAAGGTTGGTTAGATAAACAGGAGCTAGATTATTTAGAGCTTTATAGGTGAGGACAATAAATATATATATGTATGTTCTTATATATTAAGTGTCATGTTCGCAGGTGATTTGTCAGCTCAGTGTCATTACTGCACACACTATTCCTCAGCCATCATAGTGGCCTCATACCTAGTGAGGATGGAGCCTTTTTCCCAGACCTTCCTCCAGCTGCAGGTAAACTTTTCGAATCTCTCCTACATTACTCATCTGCTTTTACAGGGCGAGTAGAATTATAGAAACTGAAATAATAACATCTCTGTTGGCCTGTTCTTTATCAAATCAAGCCCAAAACATGTCGGCTTCTCCCCTAAAATCCGATTTTTCTAAATTGCTTGATGAAATGAGCTTCATTGTTTTTGGCCTTATTTGGGGCTGTGCACGCTTTTCATGTTTTCCTTTCCCAAACCGAATTAGGGTACGATTTTAATATGTATGCAAATAAATTCTGTTACGTCACTTGCGCGCAAAACCACATTTTGTTTTTAAAGAATATCTCATTTGTACACATGGAACCAATTGATTAAAATAAAAATGTCATGCATATTTGATACCCTGTGTAACGTAATGCAAACATCAGGATAACACTTTGCAATGAAATTTGCCTCACTTGAGCAGCTTTCCTCCATACAGTAATATTCATAATCAGATTTGTGCCACTAACAGTATATTACTTTCATTCAATGAGGGCATTTGCTTTTACTGCAAATTACATAACTTCTCCAGAGATTTTGGTGTGGATGGATAAACTCCCTTGAAAAATAAAAAGCCTGAATCAATTGCTTGAAAATGTCTTGGATCTAAGCAATTGTTTTTTGACTGTGATTCATATACACTCATGGGGCCATTTTGGAGTTCTAGTCTTGCTTCCAGTAGAGCCCTCTACCTTACATATGAATTAAACAGACATATATGTGATAGCAAGTTGTTCTTTTATCCTTTGTGAAATATTAAAGATGCCATTTTAAATTGTAAATAAATTTGTGTTTTTGAAACAAATGATGACAGCAGAAGTCAGCGATTCATTTGAACGATTATTTCTGTTAAATGACAAGATGTTTGTCTTAGCAAAGTCAAACTTTGATACCAAATGATCTACTAGAAGTCAAGTTCCTTAAACTTGGTAAAGACTTTAGTCTGGTAGTGTACCGAGGTACCATTTGTGTATATATTAGTCAAATCGTCAATGGTCATTGACTTGCCTTTTATAAACCAACAAGGGCCAATGTTTTATCTAAAAAATCTTCTTTAACCTTCTAGGGCTTGAGTGTCCACATACGTGGACAGCACATTTTAGCTCTTAAGTGGTTATTTAAAAATACTTTGAATGTATTTTATTTTGTTACAGACTTACAGTGTCATCCTGCAACTGTTTTGCAGCATATGAAATGCCCCAAACACTATTTCCAACTGTCCAAAATGGGGAAAAAAATGTTTTACTCTCAGATAGAACATTGTTTCAAAATAGTTTTGACTATGTTAAATATGCATTACAAAACAGTCAGGAAAAGTGTTTTATGTAAACTACGACCACGAGTCCACATATCTAGACATCATTTTTCTCTAAAAGAATATCATATCAAAAGATGATACTTAGGTTTTTATTCTAATTAGGTTCCAAAAAGCCCAAATAGCAAAGAAAAATAAAAAATGCATGTGAAAACACCTTGGGCCTTAAGAGTTAATGTAGTGCTAAAGAAAAAGCAATCATTTAAATCTTGGATGGCCCAAGGGTGAGTAAATTTATCACCAAGTAAACCTTTTAAACCGTCAATTTCTTTATTTGTAGGGTGGAACATTTGATGTTCCAGAACGGATGTTCCACAGCATTCAGAACGAGTGGGAATCTGCATCTAAGGACAATATGAGTGATGTCAGAGAGCTCATTCCAGAATTTTTTTACCTCCCGGACTTTCTTGTTAATTCCAACCAGTTTGACTTTGGTAAATTATGAGTATTGTTGTCCAGTTTTGCCTACAATTTGATGTGCAAGTTAATGTAAAGTTATCAAAGCATCTGTAAATTACCTGAATAAAAAGCCTCTAAATATGTGTATTGATAATATAGGCTGCATGCAGGATGGGACACCATTAAATGATGTGGTTTTGCCGCCATGGGCAAAAGGAGACCCCCAGGAGTTCATCAGAGTACACAGAGAGGTCAGTTTATTCCATCAAAGATGTCCGTCACACTCAAAATAGGCCACCAGCATCAGTATATCAACTTCTGCTGTACTGTACATACACTTAGACTCTACATGAGATAATGAGAGTCAGTACAATTAGAGCACA